AAAATACTAGCAAGCCAAGTGCAGTTTATACTTGTAAAGAGGATTATATACCATGATTAAGTGGAATTTACCCAAGGAATTCAAGGTTGGTTTAACATTAAAGAATCAGTCAGTATAATACATCATAACAGCTGAATAAAGAAACATCTTGGTTGGGCACAGTGGCTCACACCTTTAATCCTAGTACTTTGGGATTCTGAGGCAGGAGGATGGCTTGAGGCAAGGGGTTTGAGACTAGCCTGAGCAGCATAGCGAGACCTGTCTCTACAAAAAATAGAAAATTTAGTTGGGTGTTCTGTTGTGTGCCTGTAGTCCCAGCTATTTGAAAGGCTAAGTCAGGAAGATCCCTTGAGCCCTGCAATGAGCTACGATGACACCACTGTACTGTAGCCCAGGCAACAGAGTGAGACCCTGTCTCAAAAAAGAAAGAAATCAACCAAAAAAGAAAAAAGAGAGAAAGAAAGAAAGAAATGAAAGAAAAGAAAGGAAGCATCTCAAAAAGCATACAAAAGAAAAATCATTTAAAAAAGGTCCAACACTGTTTCATGATGAAAACCTTTAGCAAACTTGGAATAGGAAGGCATTTTCTCAACTTGATAAAAACATCTATGAAAAACCCACAGCTAGCATCATCCTTAATTATGAAAGACTGAGTGCCTTCCCCCCAAGATCAGGAAATAGGTGTATTATTCACTCTTAGAACTTTCATTTAATATTCTACTAAAAAGCCTAGCTATGGCAGTTGGGCATAAAACCAAAACAAACCCAAAAACAACCAAAAGAAAAATGTAAGCCATCCAGATTGGAAAGAAAGAAGTAAAACTATCTTCATTTGCAAGAGAAATTACCTTCTATGTAGAAAATTCTAGGAAATCCATTTAAGAACTATTAAAACTAATAAGTTTAGCTGGGTTGCAGGATAAACACTTAATATGCATAAATCAATTGTATTTTTATTTATTAGCAATGAAGACATCCCATGTTCATGGATCAGAAGACTTACTATTCTTAAGAAAACTGTACTCCCCAAATTATCTCCAAATTTAGTGCAATCCCTATCAAAATTCTAGTTGCTTTTTTTTTTTTTTTGCCAAAATTGAAAAGCTGAAACTAAACTTTATATGTGAATACAAAGAACCTCAATAACAAAACAAGCTTAAAAAAAAATAAAGTTGGAGGATGTCCGTTTCCCAGTTTCACAACTTACTGTAAATCTTCAACAATAAAGACAGTGTCATACTGGCATAAGGATAGACATATAGATAATAGAACAGAATTGAGAGTCCAGAAATAAATCCTTACATGTGGTAAGTTGGTTTTCAACAAGGGTGCCAAAACAATTCAATGAGGAAAGAATACTTCAACAAATGATTCTGGAACAGCTGTATATCCATATGCAAGAGAATGAAGTTACATCACTTGCATACACCATACAAAAGTAGCAAAAAGTGGGCCATATACTTAAATGTAAGAGCTAAAACTATACAAGCCTTAAAATAAAACATAGGAGTATATGTTTGTGTTGTTGGGTTAGGCAATGGTTTCTTAAATAAAGCCCCAAAAGCATAAGTGACAAAAGAGGGGGGAGGAGATAAATTGGATTTTGTCAAAATGAAAAGCTTTTGTGCTTCAAATGATACCATTCAGAAAGTGTAGAGATAATCTACAGAATGGGAGAAATATTTACAAATTTTATATTTAATTAGAGTTGTATCTAGAATAAAGGACTTTTATAATTCAATAATAAAAGATAACTCAGTTAATAAATGAGCATAGGATCTGAATAGACATTTTTCCAAAACAGATACATGAATTGCCAATGAGCACATAAAAAGATGCTCAACTCATTAGTCATTAGGGAAATGCAAATAAAAACTACAATGAGATACCACTTAATGCTCACTACTACGGCTAAAATAAAAAGATAAATATACAGAAAAATGTGGATACATTAGAATTCTATTACATTTCTGATGGGAATGTAAAAATATGCAGCCACTTTGGAAAACAGTTTGGCAGTTCCTCAAAAAGTTAAACATTGAGTTACCATATGACCCAGCAATTTCACTCCTGGGTGTATTATCAAGAAAAATTAAAACTTGTATTTCCACAGTATCTTGTAAATGAATGTTCATAGTCTCAATATTCATAATGGCCAATTAAGTGGAAATAACCCGAATGTCCATCAACTGGTGAATGGATAAACTAAATATGGTATATTCATACAATGAAATATTTTTGCCCATAAAAAGGAATGAAGTACTGATACATGCTACAGCATGGATGAACCTTGCAAACATCTTGCCAAGTGAAAGAAGCCAATCACAAAAGACCCCGTATTGTATGATTCCTTTTAGTATATGAAATGTCCAGAAAGTAGATTGCTGGGGTTTGGAGGATGGAAACATGGGTCGATGGGGGATGGTTAGTGATTGCTATATATATATATATATTTTTTTTTTTGAATAATGGAAATGCTGTAAAATTAGAATGCAGGGATAGTTGCATAACTCTGTGAATATACTAAAACCATTGAATTGTACACTTTAAATGGGTGAATTTTAGTCAACAGAGTGAACAGACAGCCTATAGAATAGGAGAAAATATTTGAAAACTATGCATGTGACAAAGGACTAATATCCAGAATCTATCAGGAACTCAAACAACTCAACAAAACAAACAAACAAACAAAAACAAATAGCCCATTAAAAAGTGGCAAAAGATATGAATAGACATTTTTTAAAAGAAGATATACAAATGGTCAACCAGCATACGAAAATATGCTCAATATCACTAATCATCAGAGAAATGTAAATTAAAACCACAACGAGATACCTTCTTACACCAGTCAGAATAGCTATTATTCAAAATTCAAAAATAACAGATAGTGGTGAGGATACAAAGAAAAGGGAATGCTTATATGCTGTTGGTGGGAATGTAAATTAGCACAATTCTACACAACAGTGTGGTGATTTCTCAAAGAAATAAAATTAGAACTACCATTTGATCCAACATGGGTATATACCTAAAGGAAAAGAATGTGAACCTTTCTAATTCTTATGATATACATTTTCAACTTAATATCCAGAGTACAGGAACATATATTCCTACTAGCTATGTAATAACATAATAATAACATTATGAATAAATGTGCTGATACAATAGAAACTATTTTATTAATTTTTACTACTAATGTAGTTGAACATGTTAAGTATTGCACTGGTCATTTGTGATCCAGTTATATAGAATTTTTAACATCTTTGTCAATATTTCTGTTAGATTCTTAGAATGTGTTTCTCTTATTAATTTGTAAGAATTCTTTATATAGTAAAACATATGGAGCCTCTATATCTTCGCATATATTTGCCATTTTGTTTCTCTTTATTTTTTTTTCAGATAACAGATTATTTTAATTTTTATAGATACTTTTCTTTGTTTGCCATTATTGTATACGAACGTGTATTTTTTAGCAACTTGCAACTTTTAGGCTATGATCTCTCATGAGGGGAATAAGATCAGTTTGTGGCAAATAGTGATAGATCTATGAAAAATTTCTGTGAAAACACTGAATTTTTTTAGATGAAAATATAGATAAGATTTTACTTCCTATATCACATAGGAAATACTACCTGCAAGCAATTGCCATGGAATCTGAACTATGTGAGGAAGCAACACCATCAGTATCCAGTCCCTCATTTTATAGTAAGGAATTAGAAACTCAAAGACCTTGTTGGGTGATTTGTCTGAAACTGGGACAAAAATGCAGATCTTTGAATCTTAATCCAGCACACCTGTAAACCCTCACCCTGTCTATTTCTCTTTTATTTGATATTTTACATAAATTTCTAAAATGCTTGTTTTCCCTGTAAAATATTTATTTAATTGCATGTTTTCCTTATCACAAAGATAATACATGTTAATTATGGAAAAATGAAAAAAATACATATAAACTTAGAAATAAGACAATTTAAGACACAACCCGCCTCTACAGACAATAACTCTGAACATTTTTATATATTTTTCATTACCATTCTCTCTCTCCCATATCTGTGTTCGTGTGTGCGTCTGTGGGTAATCGTACAATATTTTATATTTTGTTTTATAACATGAATGTTTCAGACAGGTTCACTAGATTTGTTTGTTATTTTAATGTCTGCATAGTATTTCATCATGTGGGTATATTCTAGTTTACTTAATAATTTCCCAATTGGATATTTAGTTTACTTCTACTTGTTGCTTTTATGTTGCAATTATAAATACTGTGGATAGCCTTGAATATATTTCATTGTTCAATTCTTATTAGTATATTAGGATAATTTCAGACAAGTAAAATTTCTTTATGAGAATTTAAGATTTTGATTCATGTAAATAGCTTATTTTGTTAAAAATTGTATTATGGTCAAATTCAATATTTACAAATAAGAGAGAATATTATAACAGACTTGCAGTCATCTATCTGCAGGTGCTCATTTCTGAAATGTGGATTTAATCTGACATCTAAAAAGAATATTGTATATTTAAACAATGTGTGCTTGTCTCTTCAGACAGAACATTTCCCCTTTGATATGTTTGCCTGGTACCTACTAAGATCTGGGTCCTGTGTCCCGACTTTTTTACTGGATATTTTCTCCTTTATCCCTCACATATGTTTTAAGGGCTATTTTGATTTATAAAGAAGGTGACAATTGGATGAATTAGGAAGCACAGACCTAATCAGGTGGTAGAACCTGGGTTCCAACTAGGGTGACCAGCTCATTCCGGTTTGTCTGGTGCTGTCCTGGTTTGTAGTACTGAAGCTCCTGTGTCCTAGGAACACTGTCATTCCCCAGCAATGCAGGACAGTTGCCTTCTCAAAGTGATACAACGTTCTAGGGTATTCCATTTCTAAATGATGGGCATCTTGAAAACAGGGAAGGAATTGGTTATACCTGAGGGAACTTGGATTATCCTTGGTTTTAGAGTGTTTATGTCCACATAATGTTGAGTATTTTATTTTTCAGGTCTCTTCATGTTCTCGTGTGCAATGCAGCGGCTTTTGCTCTACCCTGGAGCCTGACAAAAGATGGCCTGGAAACCACCTTCCAGGTGAATCACCTGGGGCACTTTTACCTCGTCCAGCTCCTGCAGGATGTGTTGTGCCGCTCGGCCCCTGCCCGTGTCATTGTGGTCTCCTCAGAGTCCCATAGGTGGGTTAACATTTGATGTTTTTTCACTTATCCCCTTTCTTGCACCAGCTAACATTTCTGCAAGGTTCTCTTTCCAAAAATGATTTTGATTAGTCCTACTTGGAGAAGTGTGGATGTACCCAACCTGCCTTGCTTTTTCCAGTCTGTCTTCAGTTTTTCCAGGTCTTTTTGTGTGTCCCTGTGATTGTGGGGGATCGTTTGGGGGGACTGTCTATAGCGATGTAGATTGTTTTTACAACTATACTTCGAGCTCCTCATTGATTTCGCTTGGAGATGGAATAATAATTGATTAAATCTGAATGGCGTGACCTTTATTGATTTGTAATTCAACAACTTCAACATCTTACCAAGAAGAATGTGCAGTTATTCTAGCAGGAGAAACAATGCAATTAAAGACTGTGAGATGAAATCCAATTGTTTTATAATGAGAAATTAGGGAATTCAATGCAGACATTAGCTGTGTAATTGTAGAAAGGGAAGTACTGTAGTTAGAGCATATTAGAAATCTGGCCATGCCTCTTTTGGTTAAAATTTCAATTAAAACATCAGATGGCACTTCTTTTCTATTACCATTAGGAGAATATTCAATTGACTAAAAAGACATTTGAAAATTTCATCGTATTTTCAGCATATTTGTTTCTAGAGTTGGGTAAACAACTATTTGTCTAAAGAGAAGTACTCAGAAAAGACAAAGGACTTGCTGGGCGAGGCTAGATTTAATACTTGTTGGGGAGATTTCTCTGTCGAATTTTCTTGGTGTGGGAGGTAGGGGGTAGAGGGAAGAGCTTTCACTCTTAGCAGAGTAGCTGGGAAAAAAAAATAATGCGCAAGGGCCTATTTTTTTCTCCTCCTTTTCCGTCTTAAGTCCTGAAATGTTTTAGTGACCCAGAATGAAGCTTATTTTTTTAATCATACTTCCATAAAATGTAACCCCTGGGACTTGGAAGAGAGAGACCAGCCAAGGGTTAGCTTGAACCCTTTATCACTCCCAAACACAGGGGCTTATGGTATAAGTGACACACTGCAGATAGATTTACTTTTACCATTTTAAATTTATGATGGCTGAAATGAAAGGAAAATGCCAGTAATAATCCTCCCCCGTGTTAAAAGACGTGAAACATCTAGTAATTAGGTGGTAACAAAATCTGGACAGCCTTATCTTTGCAAATCACACCAGGTTTCTGAAAGAGAGTGGAGTGGCCCTGGAAAGGAGCGAGGGAGGCTACCTCGGGGGCAGGCGGGAGAGAGAGCTCCGGAAATAAATCTGCCAGCCCCAATCGTTTACCAGATGTGGAGGGCACTGCGGGATATGTTTAAATGAGCTGGTATTTAATGGGAGATTATGTCGAATTGTCAGCTGCTCACTTTCCTTTGTAAATCTGTATCTCAAATGGTATTTTGTGTGACGTCTTTGTTCTCTCCTTAACTACAATGTAATTCATGCCAACCTTGGAGATCTTGAATCTTAATTTCATTAAAAAGATGATTTTGGGAGGAAGGGCCTTGATGTCCTGAATTAGATCTGTTTCAGTCTAGAGGCAAGGCCTTCCTGAAGTGTGTTGTCAGGTGCCCTCCTGTCTGATGACAGGTTTTCTGCTTTCCAGTTTTTCTTTGCACATTATTAAAGAGTATTTTTACAAAATGCAGATTCCCCCAAACTGGCTTGTGCATTACACTTGTGCCGCATCTCTTGGTAGCTGAGAGAGAGCATGGGTACTTGGTGCAGGCAGCCCACGAAAGCACTTTCTCAGAACCCAGAGCCCTAAACCATGTTGTAAAATGCAAGTGTTGATATCTAATTACCTTCATAAACCTTGGCGGAATCTCGTCGTTGGAGTCAAGACCCCCTGTTAGGGGAAAAATAAAGTCCTATGTTTGCAGAAAATATTATACTAGACTGCCCCAAGGCAAAATATTTATTAGCCTTCCTGTGTCTTCACTGTGTTTTAGTTACTTATCTGGAGTCTGAGCAGCGAATTGAGTTTCTGCATACCTAAAATACATCACATTGAAATGAGAACTTGACTTCCTTGCTGTGAAAAAATTTCAGATAACAATTAAAATAGAATGAAAAGCGCAGAGCGCTGGCTGAACAACTCTAAATGGCTGCAGCTGTGTTGAGTGCCAAATTGCTACACATACACACACACACACACACACACACACACACACACACAATTTCTGATGCAAATTCAGTTCTATTCTTTGAACATGCTAGCTTTTGTCTGTATAGAATCTAGCCTAATTATTTTAGTTGGGGAATTTTAAAAAATCCTCAGTTAAAATAAAAAAAAAGAACAGAGCAGTATATATAGAAATATGTGATGGGGGGTCCCCTCCAAAAGCAAATGCTAATGTCCACAGAGCAAATGTTAATATTTTAATGTACTAGGAAGGGAGAATTCTATTAGGATATTATTGTTTAGCTTTGCCAATTTTTCAACTTGAAAATAGAATAGGCAGCATTTGAAAAGTGGTTTTACTGCCTCTTGAGCTGAGAGGTGAACATGGTCGTTTTTCAGGAGGCCTGCCTTGGTTCAGAGGGACCAGAAGCTTGTCTACCCTTCCCACTTCCTGGAGGACTGTCAGGGCAAGCTGATCAGACCTTAAAATGGGTTTTCTGCCTTGGTGGCTGTGGGGAAGAAAATCAGGAGTCAGCTTTATAAGAGAGGGCTGTTTGCAGAGGGTGCACCTGATATTTAGCAACTGGTGCTTCTCCATCTTGAAACTATCAACCTTCTTCCATCCAGTTTCTCATTATGGCGTGTGTGTGTGGGTGTGTGTGTGTGTGTGTGTGCCTTTTTTTCTAGATTAGAGACTAGGAAGGAATGACTTTTCTTTTATTCAAAGTTTAATCTACCTACTCTTTCCTAATAATGAAATACCTCTGTGTCATCCTTATCCTTAAAACCCAAAGCATGGAATTCTAATTCTAAACAGTAGAAAGCTACTGGGGACAGTGGCCTGTGCCTGTAGACTCAGCTATTCGGAGCCTGAGGCAGGAGGAGCCCTTGAGCTCAGGAGTTCAAGACCAGCCTGATCAACAGAGCGAGTCCTTGTCTCTAAATACAATAGCAACAACAACAAAAAACAAAAAAAACCTGAAACATTAAAAAGTGCTGCATATAAATATTAATGAAGAACACAGAAGAGTTGAACCTAGTGGTGAATTTTGCTTTTCAAGCAACACTCGAAACAAGGCTTTTTATAATGAGGGGAACTTGGACTTTGGTTTGGAATTCCACACCCATGATCAAACTTCAGTTCTCTGATCCTATATTTAGTCCCTGTTGTGTGTCAGGCACTGTATTAGGCAACATGCAAGAGTCTTACGGTCTACTTTCTGTACATTCGCAGTCTAGTGTTGAAACCAGGTGACAAAATGACTTTCAATCTGGTGTGGTGACAACAGAAGCACTATGGACAGACAAAACACAAAGGTAGCACTGCTACTTTTGTTACTGATCTTGGAGGGGTAGCAGTATCATCGAATACTAGAAATCATGTCATGGATTGGGTCCTAGAGAGGAGATACTTAATTTGTATGGAAACATGTATTTCAATGTGCTTTGCAGGACTTCTTTCACTCTCTCCCCCACTGACACTCAAGAAATCCTTGTGACATCTAGCTATGGGGGAGTTAGTTAGAGACAGCTTCCTGGAAGAAGTAGCCCCTAAGTTGGGTTGTGCTGAACCAATATGCCAAGCAGTAGTTAATGAAAGAAGAGTGGAGAGTGGGAGTGAAGGGTGTTATATTTGTTCCATACCTTTGACATATTGTCTAAATCCTTGATTCTCCTTTCTACCCTAAGTAGATAGAGTTTCCAAGCCATCTCTCGTAGCTTGGATCATTAAGTTCTCAACTCAGAAGTTCCTTTTTGTGACAACTCTTCTGTAACACATTATTGCTATGTTGAAATAAAGTTCTGAAATAATATAACTTCCCTGTACAAATATATTTTTAATTCAGTATGATAGCTTGACTGTAATGTAAAGAAAAAATAAATGTGAAACAAAGTAGCAAGTGTTTCAACATGTAAATGCTTGGGCAGGACCACAGGAAAGATAATCAGATATGTGTGCCCGTGCATAAATCACCTCCAGTGTGACAATAACAAATGCAGACTGTTAACAGGTGTGTGGTATTGCAGACTCCAGTAGCACCACATCGAGTCAAGCCTCACCCTCCCAAGAAACCCACAAAATCTGAAAGTGCATTCATTCTTCATTTACAGAGTTGTTGTACTACACTCCTGGAAATTCAGCGGATGTTAAAGCTGCACATAGATTAAAAAAGCACAGTTAGGCTCTAGGCTCAGATAATTACACACAGGCTTTTCATCTGCAGGAGCGTCCAGTGAGGCAGTCTTGTTGAGCAAGATTCCACCTGCATTGCAGGGCACTTGCCATCCCTGGCCACCACCAGCAATCAAGATGACAACCAGAAAAAGGTCCCCATTCATTTTCAAATTTCCTGCCAAGTTTCACTGCCTTCCAATATCAAGCTTGGAAGTCTGGCTCTTGCTGTGGTTTCGGGACTTGGAGACAGGCAGTCAACAATTAGTCTCAAGGTCTCATTGCTGTATCCTTGATGAGGGCTCTGGCCACCGGCTTTGTTGATAACTTCAGAGCAGCAATGTCATTTAACACTGGAAATTGGATGTCACTGACTGAGTCCTGGAGAAGGGATATTTGATTTCCATTAAAATGTGAATTTCATCTGCCCTTGTGATACTTTTCTTGGTTTTAGCCCAACCTGAACTGTTCATATTAAGGAACATTAGGATTATTCCATAATTTTCGTTTTACCTTTTGCTTTTTGATTTCCATAGCCATTTTCTAGAGTATTGTCACTGTGCTTCCTTATTGCCCAGTGCCCACAATTAATGGAATGAAGCAAAATATGAGGTGTCCTTTAACAAAGATGAGACTGTCTGGAAAATTCCTTTTGTTTGTGATAAACTATTTTTTTTTTTTTAAGGGCAGTCGCTACTTTGTTGTTATTTAAGAGAGAGAGAGAAGGGAAGAGAGAAAGAAACAAACAGCTGGTGTTTAACGACTCCGTCAGATCCAATTATAAAACATCAACTAGTTACTTTGATTTGTGTGCGTCCATGCCATGGGTATACTTAAAAACAGTAGACTGTGCCAGAACTCGTTTTGGCTTTGTTTACATTTATCTTTTAAACGTATAAGACTATTGATGGTACCTCAACAAGGTTATAACCCCTTTATAATCATTAATTTTTAATGTGCAAAAGAGTCTTGGAGGCAGCAAGACTCATCTATATTTACTTGGATGCTCAAATGAAAACATACAGGACTCAAGCATTGGCCATCATAATCCGGGAAAGCCCCGTCAAAGGTTAGGAATGTGGTATCTTTCTGTTTCCAAAAGCAGCAGCCCTTTATTTAAGATGCTTTTCTATTTAATTTAATTATCTATGAACTTCCTGTTGAAGGTTTTGAAAAATATATGTTAGGAGCAGGGGAAGTTTAGCATGTTAAGGCTACTACGCTTAAGAGTGTGGGCATTTACTGAAAGTCTTATCTTTGGATCCAATTGGTTGATATTGTTAAGTCACCTTTGTCTATTTTTAAGGGAGACTTTGTCTTGATGTATGTGTGATTGAGTTTTTAGTAGTTACTACATAGTTTCCTCAGATTTCTAATAAAAATAAAAACATGGAAGGTCAGAGCTCAGTTGCTTCACGTCATATTTCCTATCTTTTAGATTTACAGATATTAACGATTCTTCAGGAAAATTGGACTTTGATCGCCTTTCTCCATCAAAAAATGACTATTGGGCCATGTTGGCTTACAATAGGTCCAAGCTCTGCAATGTCCTCTTCTCCAATGAGCTGCACCGTCGCCTCTCCCCACGTGGGGTCACGTCCAACGCAGTGCATCCCGGAAATATGATGTACTCCTCCATTCATCGCAGCTGGTGGGTGTACACGCTGCTGTTTACCTTGGCCAGGCCTTTCACCAAGTCCATGGTAAGTGAACGGCTTCTAGCGTTTAGCGCCATAAAAACCGTTAGTGCGTCTCTCAGGACGGGTCCTGGAGAAACCCAGACACCTTTCTCCACCCACTGGTCTCTTGTAAGGATGAGTCTGGTCCTAACAACAGCATTGTCAGGTTGTTAGAGCCATTGGAAAGGGCTCTTGACCGCGTTTCCATGGGCTTTAGATTAAATTTGTTGCTTTAAAGGTGTCTCGGAGGGCTGGATAGAAGATGTGGTTTTTCAATACTGTGTTTAGTCTGGCTGAAATTCTTGATGGAAATGATGATTTGTTTTCTTTTGATGTGATTTTCTTGGTTTTTGATTCAGAAACTTTGGAAATCTGTTTTGTTGAGTGCAGCACTTGAAACCTGTTTTATGTTAGGAGGTGAAAAAAAGTATTAATAGATTTGTGACTATTGAATTGTTGGCAGATATGATTCCTTTGTTTTCATTGAGAACCTGTGTCTGCTGTTCTAATTTTTTCTTTAATGGGTGTAAATCTCTCTCAGAAAATCCTTCAATGACTAGAAGTGTGCTTTATTCTTCACTTCCCCAAACACAGATCATTTTGGATGAAGCACACTACCCTGCTTAGGTTTAGAAATATTCACACACGTGGCTGTGAGTTTTTGGATTTTTGATGGTCATTTATCAGCCATATTGAGAAACTTCTTCCATGAAACATTCAGTAGGAAGTAATTTGAATGAAGTATGTATATTTTACACAATACATTTGGTAGATTTCTTTTCTAAAAGTACAGGCCTTCAAAAATGTTTTCCTAGTAATGGACACCCATATTCTAGTTATCCAAGCATAACATCTACTCCACAGAAATTACTCTTTTCCCAAACACGTTTCGGCCTTTAGAAGTAATCACAAGTCAGACCGTCAGCCTCCAGCTAATGTCACAGCCTCTGAATGCTGTCTGCCACCTTCTCTTGCATACATTCCCACCTGTTATCCTTAACGTTCCTGTTGTTTAAAACGCCATCAAAATCTCCTGAACTGCTTAGGAGGAAATAAGTGCATGTTTTATTTTAATCACTCAAGTGACTTTTATGCAAAGTAAACAGATGTAGTCCGAGAGTTGACTACTTCAGATCAGAGGAGTTGGAGTGAATGATCTGTGGAGAGTGGTTCTCCATGTTGCAGGGTGGAGTTGACATCTAGCAAGCAAACGAGTGACCCTTCTGCAGGTGGGTCACAGGTTTCTGAAATTTCCCAGTCACTTCACTCTCGATGATTGCATAAGAGCAGGCTCTCCGCAGGGTGACTTTGACCCTAATTATGTCTCAGACTCTGTTACGTCCATTGGTTTATATGAAAAGGAGTTATATCATTCTGAACCGGGCTCTAGTGCCATTGAAATGATGAATTGTTCAAATTTACCATGGCGAAGAGGAAAGAGGTTCATTCTTTCCTGTTTTCTGCTGACCCAGTGCCTTCATGACCAACAAGACCAGTCATCAAACATAATTTGTAATCTTTGGGTCTTGAGTCTTCTCGCTTGTATTTCTTCATTGGTGGGAGCTAAGGAACTCCTTTCTATGACGCCAGAAAGTTTTGTTTTCTTGTTTTTCTGGAATGTCCCTAATCAGGGAACTGTGATGGGAAAGACTTGGTGGTGGATCTGTGACTGCACAGAATCTGGTGGAAGGGGATGTAAACTTCTCACCATCTAAATGGATGAAGATTTGTTGACAGAAAATAGTAGAAACTGTTATTCTGTTATCTAATCCCAGAGCTCAGGGAGTATGGACAAGGACAGATGGGAGAAGAAGAGAAATACACAAAATAAGTAAAATAAAGGTGGGATGAATATTTTTGTGTGTTGGGGAAGAGTCAGTTATTGTCTAATATCTAATGTAAACTGTGCTTAGTTAGCAAAATTGGGCTTGATTATTGGCTCATTGGACCTAACAGGAGACTTTCTGAAAAGTGCCAGCAAATGAAGTAGGGCAGGCAACTGTGGGGGCTCTCAACTTACTTGTGAGATTCACAGACAGTCATTTCCCTTTCAGTAACATGTAGGATACTGTGTATTTAAGAGAGGATTCAGCATGAGTGTAGACCTGGGGTTGGTCAATTTCACTAGTAGCATAGATTGCACTGATTGGAAAAGTCACCCTCTGTGCTGTCTTCTGTGGGTATCTTAGATTTGCTTCCATTACGGTAAGGCATTTTTTCTTGGACAGAGGGTGCACTTCTGACATTTCAGTACAAACACCTTTTGGGACGTAAACCATGGGGTTGCATGCCCGTTCCCACTCCACATAAAGGTTGAATTTCCAAGTGCTGATGAAGAAGCTTAGCCCCCATGCCATCTCCCATCCCCAGATGGCTGGTGCTGTGCTCTGTTTGTGCCACCAGCTTCATCATCTACATTTCACCTTGGAGAAAGCATTTTCCTTTTGACTTGCACATTGCTGGAGTTCCATTGCTTGTGGTCAAGGGAACAAGAAATACACACCAGCCTTGTGCTCTGAAGCCTGCCTTCATTTCCCCACTGCAGCCGGCTCCCTTAAGTATTAAACAGCAGTATGCTAATATCAACGTCCCTTTTTTATTTGCTGTGACTTGCTGTGACTACGGTGATTTTAGTTACAGTAATTAGGTCACCCTTCATGGAGTCAGGCTATTTTAAGTGCCTCTTTAAGGAATATTGTTGCAGATCAGTAATTTTACAATTGGATGTTCTTGTGCAACTTTATTAAATGTAATCTGTCTTTTAAATGTTGCCCTTTTACAGTTATACATTTCTAATTGTTGCTGTAAATGCATTATCACTTTGAAATTAATTAATTTTTCCATTTTGGCCGCCTGCAGTATAATAATCACTAATGAGAAACTCATAGGATCAATTCTCAGCACAGCGACCCCTACTGGTAAATCCATGTCTCTGCCACTCCGTTCCTTTTATAGATCCAGAGGACTGGGTAAGTGTATTGGGGTGGGCCTGAAAAAGAATCGTTTGTCTCCTCTCCCTCCAATTTATGATAAAATAAAATTAATGGATAAAAATGGAAATAGGTTAATTTTTAAATGTTGTTCAAGATAAGATGGAGGATTCTTCAAATAGCTGTTTCCAAAATATCTTCAAGGAAACTAAAGTCTGTTGAGTGCTTTCTAATAATGAAGTCACATCATGTGCACATCCTATGTTTACTCTCCAGTCTCTCTAGCTTTCTTTTATGCAATTAAATTACTCTAAAATTATATTTTACACATGTATGCATTAATATGCATTGCAGGTTAGTATATATAATATATTTATGTAATACATACATATTGCTCTATGGGTTTTACTTCACAAAACCAGGCACTGTACTATCTGGTGACATAAGAGATGTTCAATGGTAATTTTGGCTATTTGCAGTTGTTGCTGTGTGTGATGACTTTGGGATCCTACCACACTTCCAAGTAAGATGCAAACTGGCAATTCAGGCCAGATACCAGGATGCTTCACATATCAGCATATGTTTTCATTAATTTATCACAACAGTTCTCACAGCAGTGTCAGAACTATGATCTTCATTGGACAGTTGAAAAGCACAGAGAGCTCACCCAGCTTGTTTAAGAAAATGGTATTCCAGCCTTTGCAACCATCATTAGCTTCTCTCAGGGCCATTTACTTTGTCAAATGCAGCCTCGTGCCCCTGCCATGTATATCTAGTTGTGCAGTTATATTTCCTTTTAAAAATGTTTGAGAGCACCTTCATGAAATTAGCCCCCTGCCTTTTTTTTTTTCCACATAAGCTTTTGGTTCGGGTAAACAACATCTTCGCCAGAGTTCCTAGGGCCAAGCCAGCCCTTTGTGGATCAGTATGTAAATCTGAAGCTGAGCACAGTCACGTGCCTCTTGGGGTGTTTTGTGCAACCAAATATTTGTGTTGGCAGGTAACAGTAGAAAGAATATCATGTGTTAGGGTAGCAAGAGCTTAGCAGATGTTTTAGGGAACTGCATTTTCAAATCATTTTACATTAAAAAATGGCTTGGGTTTATAGAACTTCTGAAACGATTGGGTTACGTTTCCTGTGACCGTGTAAAGCCAGTCATTGTGCTGAGTTTTAACAGATGTGCAGCTACCCTGCTAATGGATGGGCCTGCAACGCTGGTTCTGTTGCAAAGTTATAAATTACAACTAGCAAAAGCACAAGATGTCATTCTTCTAACCTTCGTGAAAGCCAAACAGGGTAATTCTGCCCTTGAATAACCTGCTGCAGGGTGATTTATAGTTGTACAATTTAAAACATAATGAAGGAGATAATAGATGTTGATTTGTTCTTTAAATTAGTATTTTAGAAAAATACTTCTCCCCCTGTCCCCCTTTAAATATCTGCAGCTGACTACACTGTGGATCCCATCAAGGACAAAACCCCCGTTGGAATCTTTACTGGTGCATTGGCATAATTGCATACAAGGCACAGGGAGTAGAAAGCAGGGACTTCTTTCTTTTTGGAGGAGAAAATACAATTTTCAAAGCGGAAATTTCAGCATATTCTTTACTAATGTAAACATTTTGAGAGTCCCGAGTGAGGGTTGAGTTTTCTGGCTGCCTTGCTCTTGCCAGTCTAGGTACATTAGAAATTTAGACTCTTAGGATCCTTCCATGTCTGCGCCACACTCGAGCTTTCTTACAGCAGCCCCCACAGAAGGACTTGCTGGCTGGGCTCCTCTTCTTCCCATTGAGGCTGCCTTCCCGCAGCCTCAAACATGCTTCTTACTGTCCAGGGTTATCATTAGCATTAGTTTTATTAGTCGTCTCTCAGTTCTGTCCAGAGCTTTAAAGTTAACAGTGTTTACTTAGTCCAGAGGCCAATGGATATGGTAGGCTGGAAAAGAGCAAAGGGTTTGGAATCATTAGGCCTATATTAACACTCAGTCTCCCCAGTCCCCAACCACACACTTTTTAGTTGTATAATTTTGAAACGGTTTGGCTTTTCTGAGATTTGTTTTCTATACTGATTCAGATGCTTTGGGCCATAGGTTATTTATTAATACCTTCTTAAAGATGGTTGGCATAATAGAGGTTTTTCACATATAGTGAGAGGAGCTGAGGCAGCCAGGGGTGAGTGTGGCTACTAGATGGCCAGCTCCTTTGTGATGGTTTTGGCTTTCCCCTCATGCTTATAGGATGGCTGCAGCAGTACCTACCATTGCATCCTACATGAAAGGTCTGAAGGGAGGATGGGAAGGGTTAGTATCCTCCTGTCATGCCTCCCTCTTTTCCCAAAAAGGAGAACATTCTGTCTCAGAATTGTCCTCCTGAGCCAACTTCCCCTCAAATCCTTAATCCCAGGATTGAGTCACCTATTAATATCCTAGGTATAAGGGAGACTAGGAAAGTGCACAGCTGACATTTGGAGCCTCCCCATTTGGGGTGGGAGGCAAGCTCCGATGACAAGGAAAAGATGGGGTAATGGTTTTGCGCAAGCACCATTGAGCAGGTGTCCATATGGTTTTCACTTGTGTCAAATGGGAGTGCTATCTACTTTCTAGGGTGGTTGTGAGAGCAAGTGTGAATCTGGCAGAACGCACCTGCCTTATCTGGCCCCATCCACTTGGCCAGCCTTACCTGAAGCCACTTCTAGCCCCATGTTCCTTTCTTCCTCAGGCTTTGGGCACATATTGTTCTTCAGTCTAGAGCACTCCTCTCCTAATCACAGTTACTTTCTACTCATCTTTCAATACTCACTCCAAACATCACACTTCAATGAAGCATATTTGGTGTCTCAGATTAGATCAAAGCCTCCATTATGTTCTCTCATATGAGCCAGCACTATCTGACTCTAACAGCTCTCCATAAATGTGTGGTGAACAAGTGAATGAAGGGCTCTGGCAATATCTCCTTCATAGCTTTTAACACAACTGTAATTTAAAAGATAATTTCTGTAGTTTCTTATTTAATGTCTGTCTCCCCCTCTCTTGAAAGTGGTATTTTTGCCTCCACATTACTGTCTTCCTAATCCATACAGTAAATGCTCAGTAAACATTTGTAAATAGATAATGGCAAGATGCGCAGGTGCTTAATAGATGGCAGTCCTTAATCCCTTCTTTGTCATTTGCCTCTCTGAGGTGGGCATAGGTTGCAGTCCAGAATGTGTAAATAAAGAAATGATAAGGCTAAGGGCCACCCAGACCACACAGCAAGGATCCAAGGCCTCCCATGTTCTGGGTCAAGTGCCACTTAAGGGATCTACCAGAGGTGTGTGTATGGAGGGAACCTATGTAAGGAGAGAGCTGCAAGGTACAAGAGAGCTAGGGTGAGCTTTAGAGCTAGACAGCTCTTGAGTGAAACCCAGTTTCATCCCATCCTAACTCCTAGAGAAATTTGATAATTTGATTAAGATTCACATGTAAAATTGGGATGTTATACCCACCTCATGGGCTCGTGTTGAGAATTAAAGGTCATTGTGAACTATAGCATTTAGGATGTGCTAGATGCTCAATAAACATTGATTGGTATTATTATTACTGGCTTATGGTGAGAATTAAAGATCATGCATGTTCATTCTGAACATGCCTGAGACTCAGTTAACCTTTGTTATTATTATTATCATTATCACTATTATTTTTTCCCAGCTTTATTGAAGCACAATTGACAAAAAATTTATATGTATTTATGCTGTCCAATGTGATGTTTTGATATACATATGCATTGTGAAATTATTACTACAACCAAACTAATTAACATATCTATCACCTCACATAGGTATCTGTTTTTGCATGGGTGATGAGAACTTTATGATCTACTCTATTAACAATGTTCAAGTGCATAATACATTATCATTAACTGTATTCACTGTGCCGTACGATAGATCTGCAGAACTTATGTATCCTGTCCAACAGAAACTTTGGATACTTTGACCAAGATCTCCCCATCCACTGCCTCTAGCAGCTGCCATTCCACTCTCTTCCTTTGTGTGTTTGACTGTTTTAGATTCAACATTTTAAGTGAGATCATTAGTATCAGTCTTTCTGCGTCTGGCTTATCTCACAAGCTAAGTGTTGCTTCTCTTCCCGTTGTTTATAGATGCCTGTTCTGCTAACGATGGCTCTGGGTCTGTCACAGAAGGTCTCATTTTCCCTGTGAACACTGAGCATAAAAACCCCATATGGACAAGCCTCGGGAACCACTGAGGCAAGTTGCACAATGGTGAACAGGACTCCCTGGGCTTCCTCGGGCAGATTTTAACCCCTCCGAGCTGCCTGTTTTACCAGCAACAACAGCACACCTTAGCTTGGAGCAAAGATTGTCCACATTTTTGTTAAAAACAAAGAGAAGGAAAACATACCCGCCTTTATGAGGCTGTGACACCTCATCACTATATTTTTTCTGCCTTGCTTTAATAGTGTTTTCAGTCTGTCTCAGCCTTTGTTCCTGAATGAGCACCCGAGAGGGGAAAAAGTGACTATCTGGCCTTAATATGTGTGACAAATTACTTAATGAACACTTAACCAAGATTCGAAATTCCCCTATTTTATCTTCCCCGTTTCCTTTTCTTCTATGTACCCATTGGCGTTGTGGTAATGCACTGCCTCTTTATAACTCTCTCTCTAGCTCTTTTATTACATTTTTTTTTAAGTTTGCGCTGCCTTCTTTGATCCTCCCCTCTTTCAGTTTCCTTTTCTCCAATTTCATACTTCTTTCCAGTGATTTTTGGCTGCAGCACAGTTTAGATATTAGAGGCCAGCGTGATTAAACCAATGCCAGGAGTTTGTGTTGCCCCATGACGATGTTTCTGGAATGTTTCTTCTATGAACATTGATTTTTGTATAACTCACTGGACATGTTGATTTTTTCCTGTGAGGTGTAAGGTAATGTTTTTCTAGCAAAAACAAAGAGGTCTCAAACCCGGTGCTCTGAATTCTTCAGAAACTGAACACCCCCCTTCCTTTTTACTAACTAAGATAAAGGAATACTTTGAAAATATGCTGAGAACATGTCCCCATGTTACATGAGAACCAACTAAGTGCCAGTCTCCATTTTCATGGATTCACTTCTTTAAAGCTTATCTCATCTAATATAATTTTAGAGTTTGCTCTAATTAAACGATTGTATATCTCTGAGCAAATCACTTTCTGTCTCTGGACTTCAGTTTTCTTATCTATCAAATGACTCAGTTAACCAATATTAATTGTCCCATGGGTTTCCAGAACAATTTAATTTGGAAGGAAATAAAAAAGGGAGACTACTTTGGAGGCTGAGGTAGAAGAATCTCTTCAGGCCAGGAGTTCGAGAGCAGCTTGGGCAACCTGGTGAGACCTTGTCTCTAAAAATATAGAAAACATTAGCCAGGTATGGTGGCTCATACCTGTAGTCCCAGCTACTCAGGAGGCTGAGAGATTGGAAGGATTGCTTGAGCCCAGGAGTTGAAGGCTGCAGTGAACTATGATCATGCCACTGCACTCCAGCTTGGGCAACAGGGCAAGACCCTGTCTTAAGAAAGAATAGAGGAGACTAACACAGTCTCAAGTACTTTTTATTCCACCAGCAACTTTGGATGAAAAGCAAACGTAGGAGAGTGGATATATTAATGCCAAACATTGTAGGAAAGTCACAATGGTGGGACAAAGAGCAGTCATTTCAGTTGAATACATCCAACTTTAGGGAAAACTCATTACCAGTGTTGTCTTTATTGTTGTTGGAAATGGTGGGCTCATACTTGGGAGTGACTGCCATAGAACAATACCCCAGGGGGACCACTTCAGCTCCATAATTTTTCTGTGCATCCTTTGGATCCCAGGTTCCAAACCTACAGTAAAGCTAAGTGCACCCCAGTTAATTGAATAGTGACCTAGGTGAGCTCGTCTGTAAAATGCAGTCCTTTGTAGACACACACTCACAGTGCAGTGAAGGAAAAAAAATGGTATGGGGTTGAATCAGGTATATGCTGACCTTGTATATAATTTTTTTTTTCTTACAAGCAATAATTTCAGCTAGTGCCCATTATAAAAATGACACCCTCATCTACCTCCAGAAAGGATTTGGGGCATTAGTGAGTAAAGAGGGGAAATGTCCTGGATGCCCAGCTCTTACCTGAATAAATTCACGTGTGGAACAAAAACAGCTTGGCACAAGGTCTTTTTGATGTGCATGCATTCATTTATTCATCAAGTGTTATGGGCCAGGCCCTCTGCTAGGGACAGAATGCTGAACAAAGTCACCATCCTCAGAGGGACCTCTGTTTGGGGAGACAGACGAGAAGCATAGAAATGAAGGAAGGAACCTCTCAGACTTCAGGCTGGGAAGTACCTTTAATTCATTTGAGTAATTTTTTTCACTAATTTATCTTTACAGAAGCAAATAATATGATCACTGTAGAACACAAAGCACATAAGGAAACAGCTTTACTAATGTTTCTTTTCTTTTTTTTTTCTTTTTTAGAGACAGGGTCTTGCTCTGTTTCCCAGGCTGGAGTGCAGTGGTGCGATCATAACTCACTGCAACTTTGAACTCCTAGGCTCAGGCAATCCTCTGTCCTCGGCCTCTCAAAGTGCTAGGGTGATAGGTGTGAGCCTCCTCGCCCAGCCCTACTAATGTTTTCAATGAGCCTACCCTTTGCTTGAGAAAATAGGCTGGTTAATTTGGCCAAAATAGTTGAATGGGTGGCTATTCATATGTGGACTGTTAACTGGGCTTGTTTTGCTTCTTTGGGCAGAGACTGAGAGCAAAATAGAAAGTAATGCTGATAGTATTGATGGCTTTTTCCTCCTTTGTTGTGATGAGAAGGTATTGGTAGGGATCATTCCTTAAACTAGTCAGGAAAGTATCATTTTAATGGAAAATGATCATCAAATAGATAGATCATACTTGAGACTGTGTACTTGGAGAGTTTTTTTATAAACTATAAAGCACTTTTCAAATATTAGAGAGAACGTGTGGAAAGAGTACGGGCTTTTGAGTGAGGTGGTCGTGGGTGTGGGGTCAAATGCTAAATTTTGCCACTTGTCTTCTCCCTGCCCTTGGTCAACTTCTCATAGTCTCTGCTCCTTGCCTGCCTTGGCTGTACCTTCAGATGCTGCCTGCCCCCGGCAGTTACTGTGAGGACAGAAGGGAGGAAGGCCTGCAAAGCACTTGGGAGAATTCCTGCTTTATCACAGGAACTCAGACAGGAAGTATTTTCATGATGATTTTACTACAGCTGTTATCATTATTGATATTATAATTATCATTATAATTGTTCATTGTTGCCTTGTAAAAATTATATATTACAATGTAGTTATATTTGGCGATCATTAATTATAATACCAGGTTTACACTTAATTTTAGATGTATTATGCTATGCCTTAGGTGTTTTGTTGCTATACTGGAAGATCATGATGAGAAGATGTCTTATCTGTTCTTCTTTGTGCTCTACCCAGTGCAGTTCCTTGCAGAAAATAAGTTCTTTAGAAATGTCTGAGTTATTTCTTATTTTCTGAAACAATTAGCCTGAGTATTTATAAAAATCTGGCCCAGTTCAGGTTTACTGTGTAGCCGTGGAGGGGGACATTGGTGGATAGATGTTCCAAAATTGCAGAAGCAACTAGAACTTAACTGTGTACGTTTACTCCAGTGCCAATGATAATGGCAGCATTTTAATATTATGATAATAAATTACTTCTTGAGCATTTGGTATAAATTAGTAATCTCTGTGAAGCAACATATTTCATCATCACAACAACTGTGGGAATTCAAGAAAATTGTTATCCTCCTTTTACAGACAAGGAAACTGAAGTTTAGAAGTGCTGAGTAAATTGTCTTAGATCACTTAGCTAGTAAGTGGTGGAGATAGAATCAAATCCATATTTATTAGGGGTGAAAGTGTATTTGTAATTACTTCCAACTGTACATATGTGCATGTGTGCATACCTACATGTCTCCTGTTATACTTCTTGTTCCAAAAAGTAATTGATAACAATTTAGAAATTAGTGAGAGGCTGAAGGAAGCAAAAAAGTGAACATTTATTTGAGAAAGAAAATAATTCATTCAAGGTTGCATTTCGTAAAGCACTATAGCTGTTGCTGGGTAGTTGCAGGAAGGGTCTGGGGAAGACAAACTTTGTTCTAAGGTATTAGCAGCCTGGGGAAGCGGCAGAAACTATTAGACGTTCTGGAACAATGCCCCTGTTCTTTACTTGCCCCAAATCCAGGCATCAAGATACTGGCCTGTAAGTACATAGTCACCTTGGCTCATTCTGGTGACGTTGACAAAGGGACCACAATAATTCATAATGGGCATGTTAAGCAAAATAGAAAGAAATTAATGATACTATGTATTAGTTATCTGTGACTGCATAACATATTATCCCAAAATTTGGAAGCATGAAATAATATGTATTACTTATGTCACAGTTTCTGTGGATAAGGAACTCAGGCCTGGCTTACTGGGTCAACTGCTTTAGGGTCTTGGAGGCTGCCATCAAGGCATCAGCTGGACCAGAGTCACCTCAAGGCTCTACTGGGGAGGGATCTGTTCCCAAGCCATGTTGTTGTTGTTGTTGGGACTCAGTTCTTACAGCCTAGGAGATTAGGGACTTTGGTTCCTCTCTGGCTTTGATTCCTCGCCATGTCGGGTTCTCCAGCATGGCAGCTGCCTTGACCACAGTGTGTAAGCCAAGAAGTTAATAGAATCCACTAGTAAGAGGGAAGTCACAGTCCTTTATAACCTAACCACAGAGATGACATCTCATTTCTTTTGCCATATTCTTTTTGTTAGAAGTGAGTCACTGGATCTGATCCGCGTTTAAGGGGAAAGGGTTTCACAGTGGTATGAGTACTGGGAGGCCGGGATCTTTGGGAGCTGCCAGCCACACTCTGCAAGTTGAGTTTTGTTTTGTATTGCAGTGCCTTTTGGTGGTATTGCTACATGGTGGCAGATGTACTGGTAGGCCTGCATGATTTTTCTTGGCCTGAAGTCATGGTATGCTTTATTGATAATATTGTCTTCCCATTTGCATCCTTTCTTCATCCTTCTCATCTTCCCTCTTTCTGGGCTGAGAAAGGTACCAAATGCACCCATTTTAATATATATATATATATATATATATATATGCATTTCTGTCTCAGTATGGGAGATAAGATTTAGTCCTTTAATAAAAAAGCTTATGAGGATAATAAAGAAATGTGTGGATGATATTTCTTACAGTCAAGTATTTGTTTTCATGTTGTTTTAGTAGAGGTGACCCATGTTAATTGATAACCCAAATTTTCTTTTTAACAAAACCTCTGCTGCCAAATTTGGATTTAATTTTCAAAGATTGGCCAGAAACCCTGAACATTTTTTAAGCCATGAAGCTAGATGAGGCTGGCCAGTCATTTCAAAGCCCCTATAGGATATTCAGACTATGTATAATCTCTAGGATTTGTTGTGGTTGCTATTGTTGTTTTAGTTTTTTAAAATACAAGGCTAAAAAAGAAAAAAAAAATTTTATTTTGCCATTTTTAGATAATGGTTGAGATTGATTATGAATGCTAAAGTTTGATTTTCATGTCATAAAGCCACGCCCCTGTTAAAATGTATCATAAAGTAATATTCACATTTCCCCTGTGAAATATCCAGTTCTTTTACTGAGCTGGGCTTTTTGCTTCTTCACATACCACTGTGTATAGAATCTGCACCACTTTAAACATTTCATCCTTGAGTTTCATATGATGAGGTCTCTTTAATCATTTACATTTTGAAAAAAGAAAGTGAAATATTCTTTAAGAAGCCAAAGTAATCCTGGAGAATGTATAGTGTTTTTTCAGCTGGAGATCTTATTTATTTGAAGTACTGAGAGAAATCTCTTCTGACTGCTCAAAAAAGGAAAGAATAAACAGTAAGAGTGTCCAAGTAATCTGAGCTAGAAAGTTCCTTCTTTCAGAGAAAAGTTATAAAAAGTATATTTGCTAGATCCAAAAAAAATACTGTATATCAAGTACTGAGCCCTGCATAATGTTTTCTTAGTATTCTCACTCTTTAAAAGAAAAAAAAAAACTGTAAAATTTGAGAACTTAAAATTTTTTCTGTATTTTAATATTTCTAGGCAGGTGAATGTAGTAAGTCTGTTTTATTCTTCTTGGAATGTAACATCTCTTGGTGGCTTTTGTGTGTGCTGGATGTGCTGTGTGTCTCATTTGTAACCATGAAAGACCAAGTAAGGAAATTAACGTGTCCGAAATCTCAACATTAACCCTGAGCAATTTCCTATAAGAAAGGCATTAAGAAGATGTTTAAAAGAGAAAAAAATACTACAACATATTTCAAAAGAATT